GATGGCCTCCAACCTAGGAGCGATGGCCTCCAACCTAAGAACGATGGATGGCCTCCAACCTAGGAGCGATGGCCTCCAACCCAATAGCGATTGCCTCCAACCAACCTCCAACCTAAGAGCGATGGCCTCCAACCTAAGAGCGATGGCCTCCAACCTAAGAGCGGTTTCCTCCAACCTAAGAGCGATGCTCTCCAACCTAAGAGCGGTGGCCTCTAACCTAAGAGCGGTGGCCTCCAACCCAAGAGCGATGGCCTCCAACCTAAGAGCGATGGCCTCCAACCTAAGAGCGGTGGCCTCTAACCTAAGAGCGGTGGCCTCCAACCTCAGAGCGATGGCCTCTAACCTAAGATCGATGGCCTCCAACCTAATAGATATTGTACATGTTTCAGGTGGTCCACAATTGTTTATACATAATTATTCTATGTTTCAACTTTTTCAGGGCGTCTGCAGTATATCCATTTTAGTCCATGTTGTATATTTTTCAGAAACCAAACTAGTATTCAACAATACCTCCATAATATGGATATTTTGAAACCCTAAATGCTAAAAACTGTTTATTGAAAGCAATGGCAAAATAGAATTTGCATTGAAAGCAGAATGGTTTTCTGCACTGAGCCATGCCAGTACAATCATCTGATGCAAATGATGCAATCATGAAACATGTATTATGATATAGATTGTTGAAAGGAGTCAGTTGTTTCCTTTCCATGAACCTGGTGATGCAAATGATACAATGACAAAACATACAGTCAGACGTACATATGTATGTATGTATGTATGCATGCATGTATGTATGTATACAGTATATTGCCTCCAACCTAAGAGCGATGGCCTCTAACCCAAGAGCGATGGCCTCTAAAGTAAGAGCGATGGCCTCCAACCTAAGAGCGATGGCCTCTAACGTAAGAGTGATGGCCTCCAACCTAAGAGCGATGGCCTCCAACCCAAGAGCGATTGCCTCCAACCTAAGAGCGATGGCCTCCAACCTAAGAGCGGTGGCCTCCAACCTAAGAGCGATGCCCTCCAACCAAAGATCGATGGCCTCCAACCTATATATGAACGATGGCATGGCCTCCAACCTAAGAGCGATGGCCTCCAACCTAAGATCGATGCCCTCCAACCTAAGAGCGATGGCCTCAAACCTAAGAGCGATATCCTCTAACGTGGGAGGATAGTTTGTCCGCACATGCTTGAATGGATTCAATCCAGATACATGACTGAAGTTCACACAAAAGATCCTATGCAGGCGACTCCCAAAACTGCACAACTCATTATATATTGTGAACATGCCCCATCCTGGCTCTTGGACTGCGTAAGATTGATAAATAAAGAGAAATGCACGATCAACTTGCCCTTCCGACTAGTATCGAAAACCCTGGCTGGATCTAAGTAAGTTGTTTTTTGCTTTTTGCTTTGTTCGATTGCATCTACAACCAGCTCAGCCAGACAAAGCAGCTATCGAGTGAGTTGTTCACCACCTGCTGTCAAATGCATAGGCCGTTCTGCAGCACCCTGGAAGACTCACTCAGGTGTTCCAACCCACAGTAATTAAATCCCAATGAAAGCTCTGGAATTCACAGACTATACCCATCGCTATGCAAGCCTTGTCTGCCCACCATTCATATCACCAGCGAGTTGAGACAGGGCGCCATGTAGAGCAAAGACCCTTCGACTTCTTTTTGCGCTTCTTCTAGTCTCCGGCGCCTTAGGAACGTTACAACATACACTTGATGGTGCGAGAAGAACGTATGATTCAGGCAGCATAATCTCTCAAGGCTATACCACCAGGAAACCGTGTCGTGTGGGTGTTTTCGAGGTCCAGTGGCCAGGTCTCACTTCCAAGTCCGTCTACTCGACCAAGCCATGATGCAAACCACCAGACTGCTTCACAGGCTTAGGCCCCTTGGCAAGCTTCCGCCACGGATCTCGCGCCGTTTGCACCAAGAGGCTCCTGCAACTGGCAATACACTACCGACAAATCATTCACCCCGCATCGTAGCAAATGAGAGTGTCCTCTGCAATAACAAGGTGTGGGTGATTCAGTAGAACGAATTGAGTGTACCGTTTTGTGATCCTGACGCCCGATGATAATCACCCTCACTTGGCTCTGTACTCTCCCACATGACATGCACGCCTTCATTCGATTGCCAGAATCTGCCTTGGGGTCTGACATAGCCTGACTGGCTACATCCGCGTACCTTATAATTTGTGGTAACAGGCGGCACGACACTTTGCCGCATTTGGCCTCTAGGAAATGGCAAGAAAGTTAGCACCAAAGGTTTCATATTTCTAGAGACTAGGAACAAGAAGCTACTAGGGCTCCTGGCATCGCTACTAGGAGCAAGGACGCTACTAGGAGCTCCTGGCCGTACTACTACGAACAAGAAGCTATCTCGGTCTCACATCGTTTCCTTACTCATTCCCCAAAATCAATCTGGATGGATAGATGTCTATAGCGATATCCCACACAGGGTTTGACAGCAGTTTTGCAGCGGCTCATGGGTTGTGAAACGCTGTGTCGAAGTCGAACCCTAATTCAAAAGCCTCTGAAATCTTGTAAACTGTGTAAAGCTCAAAAAAAAGTGAAACCGGGTGAAGCCAAGTCAAACCTAGTGAAACCCGCTGAAGTCCTTATTATGCCACCAAGTGAAATCTTTTGAGCCCCAGCACTAAACCTCATGAAACTATGGGCCCTACTTGCGTTCTGCTCCTTGTTCTGCGCCCCACACGAAGACGTCGCCATCTAACTCCTCACCGATCAGCCGCTCGCTGGACAGGACCGCCTCAGCATACCGCCCCTCGAAGAGAAGAAATGATGCTTGGAGGACAAAATGGGAAATAAGAGTGGCATGGAATGGAAACAGCACACTGGACCACATGCCTTTCTTCTATGTGGATTTGCCTCAAAGTGGCAGTTGATCAGGGGGTCTGCGGGCCTTTGCCATTTTCCAGCAAAATCTAGATTCTGCGCGTTTCCCCTTGGGGGATGTCTTCGCATGCGCAGAAGCCTGTAGAAAATTTTGGGCTTTGCCATGAGGACAATCGAGAAAACAAATGTCATACTATTTGAGACGGAGTTTCCCATAGGTCCAATGTGGTCAGAGGGTTCTCAAGCCCAGTTGCGGATCTCCTGTCCCACCCAAAACATCAACCAGTAACAATTACTCAATATAGAACCAGCTCATGAACAATGTTTTCCATTTCCTTGTGGCTTTCCGAGTCGGGGGAGCCCCGGCGCAAGCCTTGTGAATTCACCTGGCTTTAAAAGGGGCTAAAAATTTCACTTTAGCCTTCGGCGAGGGGAGCATAGTCCGGCTGCATCTCCTGGAAGTCATTCTCCTGCTCACGAAGAGAAGCGACATAGGCCAACAACTCAGGGTCAGTCTTCTGGCAGCATTGAGTAGTACGCTTGCCGAGCCACTGATCCATAAACATCCTGGCCAAAACCTGATTCAGGTAGGGGGAATACTCTTTTGCCGAACTGGTAGGGAAGGCTCCCGCGTCATCCTTACCAACCAAACTCTTCAGCGTGGTCGGATCGACCTGCTTGGCGTATGCTCTGAAAGTCTGTCGAGCTCGTGGAAGGTGTGCCACCAAAAAAGTAGTGGGTTTCCATGCCACACCTTCAAATTGACCTTGGTAGACGTGTTCCAGTGTAACAGCTGGGTGTAGCCGGAGCCTGCGCATCACTGGAGTCTTCCAAATGCTAGGGAGGTCATGCCGCTTAGGGGCACGAGGATGTTCACACATCACAGAAACACCAGCAAGGACTGCATGGAGAGCAAGGTAAATTGCTGTGAAGAGCAGTTCATTTGCAACCAGCACTTGTTTCCAGCTCAGCCAAAGTCAAATGGTGTCGGACCCACGGCTGTTCTGGCAGTCTGAGGACTCTAGGATTACCCTCTAAGGCTCTGGCACTCGACCAGGACTCACAAGGAGGGGCCATCAAAATACCCAAAACTTTATCAGAACCAATCCAAGACTCAAATTTGCGAACATGAGCTTCTTGGCGCATATCATGATCGGCAGAGAGGGCCACGTCGATGAGCAGCGGATGGCAAGTCACTCCGTGTAACATACCCCAGGCAAGAAAATTCAGCAAAATCTCCTGTCCTGCGTCTGCCAGAATACAGGTACAGCACCACTGGCTGTTCCTGTAATGGAGCGCATGGGGCAGGAAGCCAAGCAACCGAGGTCAAGGCATCACGGAGGGTGCTCTGACCAACCTGAGCGCGTACATCAAACTGTTGTGACATAAGCCAGGCTTTGTAGCTGCGGCGTTCAGCGTGGAGAACACCTTGAGGAACATTGCAAGTTGGCACCCGAAAGCGTGACAACATACGCTGTTGGGCGTCAATCTCAGGATGATCATAATATTGTCTCCAGAGTTCCAAAGCTGCAGCAACTCGTGGCAGCACAACATCGCAGGTTCATCCCAGTCAATCAAGTCGAAAGCGTCCCAGAGCGCGAAAAACACTGGCTGTGCAAAGGTCACTGGCTGCAAATATTCATATAGTGCGGTTTCATCCGAATCGGAAGTACACAAATGAATAAAACCAGACACAAAGGTGCGCAAAGCGGGTTCCCTGTCAGTGGCACAAAAGGTCGGGTCTTCATCCAAAGGTGTAACAACCGCAGCCGCTTGCTGAAATCGCAGATCGGCTAACAGCCATGGATGCTGAGGCAAGACGCCGAATTGGCTTGCGGAACGATCTAGTGCGCATGCGCGACTGCTGTTCACGGAGTTGAACACGATCGGCTGTAGTGAGGGACTCCACAGAATCAGGGTCCAAAGGTGGGACCGTGCAGATAAGTGCACGCAGACAGCCTGTTCGAGTATACTTCAAATGATGTAGAAGCTGGACTCGAGAATGGTATTGTTTAAGGCACCAACGACAGGTTGAATCGACTGCATATAGACTGGCGACATTTCGCGAGCGATGCTGCTTGAAATCATGTGCAAAAAGTCGCTGCAGACTAGTGAAGGATTGTTGACGCGTGGGACAGTGAAAGATCGGCAAAGCCGTCGACACAGGTGTGGCAGCAGTGAACAAAGCTCCCTTGTTCTGGGCTGTTTGCACAAAGCGGGATCGAAAGGCAACCAGGGCATTCCAAATGCGAGCTTGTTGGAAAAAGCAGGCGTTCGCCAGTTTACACTTGGCCAGCAATGCGCGAGGAGTGGCGGTGAGGTCGGCGGCCAGGCTCGGCCATGGCTTAGTGTCAACCTCAGGAATAAGACTGGCTGTCGGCAACAACTGGTTCAGGGCTTGAAGGTCATCGCGAATCAATCGAAGCCAACCTGAACGAGATGCTTGAGCCTGGAGCACACAGAGCAAATCAGCTTTGGGCAGGTCAAAAAGACAAACAAAAAGGCGAAGACGTGTCTGGCTCAAAAGCCACAACGGAGGCAGCTGCATGGAGGCTGTCACAATGTCCAAGAGTGCCAAGCAGCAACCGGACATTATCAAGTAAGAGGTCCAGCGATTCTGCACATGTGAAATGTGAAGGCAGTAAGATCATCAGCCCAGGAGGCCGCACCTGGGGCAAAAAGGTTGGTGGTCTCCAAAGGCTCATCAGGGCCAGGCAGCCACTGGAGCGGGGGCTGACGAAAAACACCAAGTTCTACCAAACGAGTTTTTGCATGAGACTGGATTTCTGCCAAGTGAAAGGCGAAAAGCGTGTCCAATAGTGGGGAGCCCGGACGACTACCCCTGGTGGTGTGGACCACTGTTGGACGACCGGCCATACTGAACCAAGTTGCATTCAGGACATCACCTATAATCCAACGCAAATGGTCAGGGACTTGCGCAGTTGCAAAAGCATCTGGCTGGTGCATGAAATGCATGAACGTTTGGTACGATTGACTGGACAAACCATGGTGACGAAAGAAGGCAGCTAAATCCTCGTCAGTCTGGAGGTCACGGAGCAAAGCTGGGCGAAAAAGCCGGTGGTAGGCGCTATTAATGTCGACAAAAACACACGCGTGGGACAGACCCTGAGAGGCGGCATACTCTGCATGGGACTGCGCCAAAAGTTGAGTTTGGTCTGGACCAGTGCCTGGAAGGCAGCCAGCTTGCAAGGGCAGAGCAGAATTGGGCAGATAGCGTTGAAGCTGACTGCGCCAAATTTTATGCACCAACTTAGTCAAGACATCTTGCAACATGATGCCTCGGTAACCACGCGGGTCATGTGCGACTGTGGCTTTCTTGGGCATATATTATTCTTCCTGTTTGCTTTGGCGTGCTTGTCAAGGTTGAACTCTTCGTCCCACCAGGAGACAACATTGGTCGGTAAAGTGCTCTGGTACGCCGCCACCCAATCGTCGGAGCAGGCCGAAGGGCATGGAATGGAAACAGCACACTGGGCCACATGCCTTTCTTCTATGTGGATTTGCCTCAAAGTGGCAGTTGATCAGGGGGTCTGCGGGCCTTTGCCATTTTCCAGCAAAAATCTAGAGTCTGCGCATTTCCCCTTGGGGGATGTCTTCGCATGCGCAGAAGCCTGTAGAAAATTTTGGGTTTTGCCGTGAAGACAATCGAGAAAACAAATGTCATACCAATTGAGACGGAGTTTCCCATAGGTCCAATGTGGTCAAATGGTTCTCAAGCCCAGTTGCGGATCTCTTGTCCCACCCAAAACATCAACCAGTGACAATTACTCAATATAGAACCAGCTCATGAACAATTGCAATATCAAAAGCATACCCTGCCCTGGTCATTTCGTTGATTTTTCCGCCCTGGTATCAGATAGACTTGGGATTTCTGCGCGCGCCAACTCGATCCAATCGAGACTTTGGCGGCGCTAGCCTCAACGGTGCTCGTCTGCGTCTTGCAGGCCTGCGAGACCCGCCGGGCTTGCCAGTCCCAGTTGATCCACGCTGTTCCACAGGCTTGCAGGGCAAGGCTCTTTCAATTTCAGAGTAGAACACCTACCAACCTGACCTTCGCAGCCAAGAAACATCATCGACCCACCAAGCAAATTCAATTCCAGGTCCAAGCATCATGAGACTGAGTGTCTTCAAGCGGGTCTTCACCCTGCCTCCACCAAGGCCTTCGGCAACGAGTCGCTGAGCCCCAGCTTTCGAAGACCACCACGCAGGACACACATCTGTGCCTGGCAGGTGGTCCCAAGCTGCGGACGCACAAAAGTTTTTGCTGCGCAAAACGAATGCATCGTGGTTCCAAGGATCGCAAGATGAATGATGATTAGTTACATTGATCTGGACAGATTGTTCCGTGTGTAAAACCAATGTCTGTAAAGAATGAGTCCTTGAGGCACAGTGCTGCGTTAACAGGCTTACTCGATCTTGTTAAACTCTGGCAGGATACCCATCCGTGCGCCTGGAGAAACATCTCCCGCATTCCCTACGCAGGTCTACCCTGGACTCAATAACCTCTTCCGCCCAAATACACGAACTCACTCCAGCCTGTGAGTGATTGCCGTACTTCACAAAGTTCATGAAGCTTCCTTAGATGGATGTTGGATTGATCCAGTGAGGATCATGAACTCCAAGCCCAAAGATACCTTCGCTTCACGAGCCAAAGCCAAGCCAAACAAACAAACCTCTGAAACGTCGGCGCTTCGGCGCTTCGGGTGTTGTAGAATTCCATGTTGGTTCCCCGCATCCCGAACCAAAAATGGTATGGCCCAAACCCCAGGTTGTCAACTGAAAATGTCCGAAACCTTCAGGTTTGCTCTTTATGGGATACCGGATATCAGCCACAGCCTGTAAAAGGTCTCATCTGGGATCAGTCGATATCAAATATATAGCGACAATCAATTTACCAATTCGGCCAGCAAAACCTGATTGTTACACCGGTTCACCGATCTCTTGCTAAGGTGTAGTGCACGTGCAGTGTGAGGAATCATTTACGTTGCTTGTTGGGAGCTGCAGGAGAGCAGCCATACCCGACCTGGGCTTTTGAGCCCTCCATTGCCAACAAACCCAGCACCCACTGCAGCTGCCACCTTGTCCATCAATTTCCAAGCTTCCGGGCGAGTCGACCACCAAAGGCCACTTGCAAAAGTCCTGTTTGAGATTTGCCAGCAACTCAAAAGAAAAGGAAACCAGCACAAGGCCCACAATCCTCATCCGAAAAAACAAACAACAGTTCCCAAGTAAATCTCCCTATTCAAAGAAAGGGGTCCACACATGTTTCGGCACAAAGGCTCCCAACCAGGTTGACCCTTCAGTTCTCCCTCCTTCTCTCTTCTGACCCTTTGGAGTGGGAAGACCTGAGGCCCCAAACCGGCACAAACAATCCAGCCCATGCCAAACAAACTAATCAACCAACCAAGGAAAACAAGACTAGCCCGTGGTCAACAAGCTATAAGGCCGCAACGAGAAACCATCCCCCCCGACAGGCGATTGCGGTCTACACTACACCTTTTTTTCTTCTAGATCCGAGGGTCTTTGACGCGCAAAGTGTCCACTTTGCGCACCTTCTTCACACGCTTTAATCCAGGCGTTCTTCTGGCCTTGCAGTTTTGGATCTCTTTAGACAGCTGCAAACCAGCTTCTAACATGTCTCCCAAAACCAACTCTTAAAATTTTTGCAAGTCAAACCTGACTCTGTTCGCTGGATCGAACCTGGATAGATCATTCATTGTTGGTCAAAGCGTCCGCTTCGACATTTTGCAACCGTGGCAACCAATGAAGGTCCAAACGAGCCCTTTTCACATGTAGTTGGAGCGCAAGTTCCATGAGAAAGGCACATAACGGAAATTTGGTTGTCAGCAAGGACACCACAAATGTGGTACCCTTGTTATCTGTACCAGCTGAACATGATGACACGCGCTCCACACTGGAATCTTCTACTCCAAAGCCAACAACTGCAGCCAAGGTAGACAAGAGCTCCAGGGAGGCAATGTGTCTGTACGACTCTCCAGCTGCATATAGCCAAGGTGCGCTCTCATGCGTTATCTTTTCTGAAAACCATCTGCACTTTTTTGCGGATCATCAAGAGCCCAGCCCCCTAGCCAGACTTCACTACCTTCTGCTTTGGCAATCTGCCTGGTCCACCTTTAGATAAAGCTTTAGCCAGGAAGACCATGATGAGTTTGATGGCTTTTGGCAGCTTGCAAGTAGGCGCGAGCATTCCAGAGCAGCAACCCAAGCGTATAGTGGCCCCAAGAGAAAGGTCGTAAATGATCTAGGGCAGTCAACGCAAAGGAAAGTCTTTCCAACGCTGCACACCTGTCTGCTATCCGCACTGTACACTGTACCCATCGCCATTGACTATCCAAGCAGATCTGGCTTCCGAAAGCCCCAGCGACCCAGCGTTCAAATCCAATGTGAATGAAGCCAGCCCAGGATAGCTGTAAACCACCGCAAAACTTTTTCCGAGAAAAGGGAAGCCCTAAAATGACCATGAAGAAGATTGACCCCAAAATCTTTTCCATACCACCTTTTTCCCGCGTCAGCCAGAAGAGGTCATCAACGAACACCAACATAGCCATTTCAGCGCGTCCCCACATGTAATAGACCAGTCGGCCCAAGCCTGGCATGAGGCGGCTCCAATGATAGGCAGCGCTGCTTACCCCAAATGCGCCGACTTTGTTCAGCCACAACCGCTCGCCGCCACGCGCACCAGTCTTACAGGCTTGCAGCCCGCAATCCTGCCGAGCCACCTTGACCAAGCGACACGCACGCTTCACATCACCTGTTAAAGCAAAACATGCTCCCGGTAAGGCTTGCAACAAGAATTGGTCTCGCACATGGATACGAGTTTTCACATCTACCCCATGTGTACCGTCGTGAACAACCCGGTAGGTACCATCTTCCTTCTAGCGATGCTACAGCAAGATTGCTGAACTCGCTCTTTGCCTCCCCCAATCGCATGTCTACCGTTGCACCAAGTTCTGCTTCTTGCATGAACTGCTCTTGGATGATCTGCGACTGTTGTTGCGCTGAAATGTAGTTTTCACGCACTTGATCCTCAGCCTGTTCTTGGGGATACTTTTTCCATTTTACTTCTCGCTCAAAGGACTGCAGGCACACGTGGCTCCCACTCCCAAGCGTACGCCATTTCCAAAAGATTGACTCGAGCTGCAAAATGCTTTGTAGTCAGGATCACCAGAAATTCGCAGCAAAAGTTCCTGAATTGCGGCCAAATCTATTTGAATAGTCACAAGAACATGCCCACGAACATCCAGCACAGCGCCGGCGTAATACTCTAAAGCTAAAAAGATCAACCCCCGTCCTTCTTCTATGATATTGGCTGTGATTGGACATTCCGCTATCCGACCGGTTGCCAACTCCATTGACTCCATTGCAAGACGTCTCACATCAAATCTCTCACGCAATAGCTTCCCTAGCTCAACTCCGATGGCATCCATGAACTTTACCTCAGGCACGCCAGCAGAGCTCTTGCGCATTGGGGAAGCCATCACCCCGGCGCGCATAAACCTAATCTGTCAGAGAACGCTCTTTGCTTTCCCATCAACGACGAAGTCAACGGTGGACCTCGCCCCCAAACCGAGAGCCCAGCTTTGGCTTGGCGAACCCTTCCTCATCCTCTTCCGAGCTGATGTCCTGATTTGCAGCCCAAGCCGCTTCCCCTGTCTTTTCCCATTTCCAGCCTTCATCATCCTTGCCAGACGGGCCATCGCTCTCAATGCCAGGATCACACTCCATCTGCGATTCCACAGCCCCATCCGCAGGCGCCAGATGGAGTGGTGCTGAAGGATCTATATAGTCATTCTTTGGGGGCCGACCGCTATCTGTGGGCAAGTGATGTAAGAATGTTGTCCCAAGCATCTCTGACACGCAAGTGCAAATTTAGAAAGCTTTTTCTTGCGCCCAATCGTCTTGTTGTAGCCAAAACAAATGCGCAGTGCACGAGTGCTTCTTGATGCTCCGGATCACGTCACCCTTGTCCGGGCGGGCACGCTTGCGCCACGGCAGATCACCCGTGCCACTTTGGAAATCACCTTGGTTTCCAAAAGAGGAGAAGGTGAAAGGCCCGATGAAATGCATCGCGTAGAGCTCGAGGGCGACGCAAGCGCTTGCCAAGGCTACATTCAAATCATTGGCGTGGCCATCACGCACAAGGCAGTAGGCACGCTTGCGCACTTCACTTTCATACTGCGGCACCAGGCTCCACGAAGGATAGCGCCCATCTGGCGACCAGAGGCCGGCAATACGATCTCCCAAAATGTGATCTGAAAGCTTGCGAAACCCATCCAAGCATCGCTCAGGCAAACAAGGTCGAGAAAAATGCTGGAGCATTTCCCAAGCGAGCCCCAGCCGACGATGCCGCATGCGCAATTCCTCTGGATTGCATGGTGGGGTAGTCATCGTTTTCCCCGGCTTGATGCGGAGAAAAGAACAAGCTGGATCAATCACACTCTCATAAGCACCCATTTGCGCGTCCTCCAAGCTGGTGACATCCATCTTCCACATGGGGAGAATTGTCCTCCACCTGCTCAATCTTTTGCGCCAACAAAAGATTTACTGGGAAGCTCCTTGTCCCGAAGATCTCCGTGGACCCTCCCGCGTCGCATGGTTGGGATGACGCGGGTCTGTCGAACCCGCGCGATGCTTCTCACCCACAGTCAATTGGGTGCGAGAGGTTCCTATCCAGTTCACTCCTAATCCAACCACTAGCCGCTGCATACAAGTCCCCTTTCGTTGGACGCCTGCGTCCACCCCATGGGAGCACAAATGAGGCGAGGCCGAACAGGGTGCCTATCAGGCCGTCCATGACAACTATTAGCTGCTAAGTCCTTTGGACAATGACATGACAAAAAACACACACCTCACCGGAAGATCAAGACCTGCAGACCTAACTGGGCATACTTTGAAGGATGAGAAAGTCACCAGCATGTATCAAGCGCTGCATCTTACGTGTCAAAAAATGACATGGTCTATTTCTTGGTGCGTCCCGATGCGACGAACAGTCCAAGATCCACTCTACAGGAGCCAACAATGGACAGATGTGTGTCAATCAAACATACCAAGCACAAAACGCAAAGACCCGAGCTCCGCCAGCCACAACCACAATGGTGGGATCCATGAATGGCTCAACACATGATCTGACCGCCAGCAGGACGAGGAAATAATCGACGGCCGGAAGACCAAACTCCTACAATTTGCAGGCTTCACGTCCCGCACAGCGTTCCAGGCAGCCTCCCCTGAAATCCAACTCAATTTTGTCACCTCCAAGATGTCAACCGGCCAGCCACTGCATGCCGCTGCCTGGCAACCGGACCGGTAGGCCAACTTCAAGTCTCAACGGCATGAGAGATACACTGCCAAATATATGCGAAATTTTTGGATGAGTGTTTCCTGCCAGGTCGGGGTTGTATTGGATTTGGCAAAGTCCCAATGGGAAGACACACCCCTGGCTCATGCATTAAGTAAACCAACCTGGGCTTGTCTTGGAAGGATCTCTCACCAAGAAAAACCACCATGACACTTCAATCTGACAAATTTGCTGGCATGTGTTGAAACTGTTCTTCGGCATTATTTCTTCCATGTCTTCTGACACTCTTTCTGACATTCTTTCTGGCGCTTTATCTGGCATATCTTCTGTCCGGCAGGGGACACTGCCATCCGGAGCTGGCGGTTGAGGGAACACTGCCATCCGGAGCTGGCGGTTGAGGTCCGGCGGGAACACTGCCGTCCGGAGCTTGCGGTTGAGGTCCGGCGGGGAACACTGCCGTCCGGAGCTTGCGGTTGAGGTCCGGCTGCCCAATGCCCATGGAGAAAACCATCGGATTGCGCGATGAGCCAGAGCCGGGAACACTGCCATCCGGAGCTGGCAGTTGAGGTCCCGCGGGGAACACTGCCATCCGACACTCGTGGTTGAGGAGGACGAGGAGGAGGAGAGGAGAGGAGACGAGGAGAGGGGCAGGGCAGCTGACATAAAATCTAACAGCCCTCACCTGACAGGTGGGGAATCAAGAAAATGCCTTAAACACATCGATTCTCCCAAGAATCAGAAAGCACATTAAGAGGCATGGTTCCAGAAACAAGCCATGACCTCTATGTTATTCATCGAAACTTAACCGCATCTCAACGGAGTGCCAATCGCCCCAATCGCCTCCACCAAAGAAAGCCCGACCTGCTCCTCCGCCTGGAGTTTCGAGATGTATTGAAAAACTCTGAAAATATGCAAAATGTGTCTTTCCATATTAGTTTCCCAGTCTAAAGACAGTTATGGAGCTGGAAGAGCGTTGTCTTTTTACCCCTACTACTAAGTACTAGCCAGATCTAGCCAGAAGTTTCTCATCCCGTACTAAACTGAACAGAAACAGAAATGCCCGACCAATATATAAATGTAATTCTTTTCAAAGAATCGGGTCCCCTCAATAATCAGAGTCTCCTCGCTCTGTATCTAGTCCCTTGACCATGTCGGTCGGGGTGATTAATTGCCTGTTCATTGGACCAAATAGAAAAAGTAGGAAGAAAAAGGCTGGATGCTTTGCACGGTTTCTGATCGGTGTAGGTGTGTCTCCAAGAACTAGGGGTCAGTTCTCTACAGGCCCCGGTATATACCTGAAACATTTCACCTCAATTGCTCCAGCCAGCACTTGGTCAAGTCGGCCTGGAGAATCATGACTGCAAAGCAATTTTAAATCCCAGCGCATGGGAGTGAACTCAAGAGCAAACCATTGCAATGCAAGCTTCGGAGGTTGCTGGGCAAGGTAACCCCTTTAAAAGTTTGATTGAACCCAGCACCCAAGGAAAGACTTTGGAGATTGCTGGGCCACATCACTCGCTCCAAACTTTGATTGAAGCTACGGCCAAAGGCGAGACTCTGCAAGTTCACTGGGAAAATCGCTCCCTCCAGGCTCTGGTTGAATGCATCACCAAGGTTGAGGCTTTGAAGGTTGCTGGGGAAAGCTACCCCCTCCAGGCTTTTATTGAATCCACGGAACGTCAAGCTCTGGAGGCTTTCAGGCCAACTTACTCCCTTCAAGCTTCGATTGAAATCAACGCTCAAGAATAATGTTTCAAGGCTCGGAAAGGTCACTCCCTGCAAGTCATGGTCAAATCGTTTACCAAGCTTCAAAGTCTGCAAACTGCCAGGCCATCTCACGCCCTCCAAGGAATGGTTGAACCGATCGCCAAACACCAGGCTCTGCAAACTGTCGGGCAATGTCACGTTTGCCAAAGGCTGACTAAATGTATTGCCCAGCTTGAGACTCCTCACTTGTCTAAATCCCCTACAGTAGGTGGAACACGTTGAGTTTTGCCAACGAACCAGAACGAAGACAACAATGTTGAAACAACCAGACTCCAGTTTTGAAACTTTAAAACAAGTCTTTTGCATCTTAGACTCTGGAGGCAGCCCGGAAGAATCACTTCCTCCAAGCTCTGGTCGAAGTAACAGCCAAAGGTCAGGCTCAAGAGTTGGTTTGGCCAGGTGAATTGCCCCACGGTCTGATCAAACTCTCGTCCAAAGGTCAGGCTCTGCAAGCTGTTGGGGAGAAGCGTCTTCTCCAAGGTCTGATTGAATTCATTGCCGAGGCTTAGACTTTGAAGGCCTTCCGGCCAAGTTACTCCCTCCAAGGTTTGGTTGAATCCACCACGAAAGCTGAGATTCTGCAGGTTGCTGGGGAACTTCACTCCCTTCAAACTCTGGTTAAAGCGATTGCCGAACGAAAGACTTGAGGTTGTCGGGGAAATTTACTCCTTCCAGGCTCTGGTTGAATCCATTGCCGAATGTTAGAAACTGAAGGTTGAAGGGCCATGCCACTCGCTCCAAACTCCGGTTGAAATCCCAACCGAAGGTTAGGCTCTGCATAGAGCTGGGCAAAACCACTCCCTCCAAACTCTGGTTGTATTCACTGCCAAATGTCAAGTGGTGCAGCCTAGGGGGCAAAGTTACCTGCTCCAAACTCTGGTTGAAGCAATTGTCAAAAGTCAAACTTTGGAGTTCGGTTGGGAAGGTCACTGCTTTCAAGCACTGATTGAAGAAACTGCCAAGTTTCAGACTCTGTAAGCCAGTCGGCAAAGCCACTCTCTCCAAGCTCTGGTTGTATCCTCCACCCAGTGTAAGACTCTTGAGGCTGCTGGGAAAAGCTACCCTCTCTAAGCTCTTCTTGAATCCAGCGCCAAATGTGATGCTCTGCAGACTCTCAGGCAAAGTAACTCCATCCAAGCTGCGGTCAAAATCCCAGCCAAACGTCAGATGCTGGAGGCTAAAGGGCAACGTCACTTCTTGCAAGCTGCGGTTGAAATTCCAGCCAAACGTCAGGCTTTGGAGGCCTTGCGGCAAAGTCACTCTGTCCAAACTCTGATTGAATACACCGCTCAGAGTCAGGCTTTGAAGGCTCATGGGCAAAGTCACTCGTTCCAAAGTCTGGTTAAATCCACTGCCAAAGGTCAAGTTCAGGAGGCCACTGGGCAAACTGATCTTGTCCAGGCTCTGGTTGAAGTCGCTGCCAAATGTCAAACTCTGGAGGTTGCTGGGCAAGGTCACTCGATCTAAATTCTGGTTGAATTCACCACTGAGGCTAAGGCTCTGAAGGCTATTCGGAAGCTTTCGTAGTTGATCCAGAGTGCGCATCCCTTCCAAACGTGTGGTCCCTTCCATCGCATGTCCTTCATCCTCCACTGGCAAGCCCAAGATACATCTAAAAGATTCACTCAAGCTGGCTGGCATATATACATAAGTGATCCGCGCATCTTCATCAATCCCTTGCTCCTTGAGGCTTTTCTGCAAAGAAATCATCTCAAATCCTTTCTGCAAGCAGATTCTGGCCCCGGCCTTCGGTGGCAAGCGGTCGTTCAAGAGCTTTCGAAGCTCGCTGCCTCGCATCGACCGAACCACTCTGACCCGGAAGCCTTCTCCATCTAGGCCTGCCACCTGGGTCAGGCGCCAAAAGAAGTAGCAAGACTCGAATGAAGTTAACGTGTCCACAACAACACTCCATTGAAATGCTCGACGTTGGGTTTTCTAGCCACTCTCAAGAAAATCACTATGAGAAAAGAGAAAACAAATAAAGACCCAGCCCAGTGAATCTCAGCGAATCCCACTGTATGAGGAACTAGGGGCACTCATGTCTAGGCTGCTTTTTTGTCGTGGGAATCTGTCACCGCTGAATTCCTGTTAATCAAAGACATCCACCACTATATAATGAATGTTCACCCCTAAAATACAGTCAGGAGGTTGCTCCAGCTCAGATATTTTGCCAGATGCCTTCCTTCAGTGGGATTTCTGGGATCCACTGGAAGCAGTGTTTGGATCCACCTCAAGTTCGATCACCCCCTCCTCCCTGTCTTGCGGAGCATGCGCGGCGTAGGCCGACACAGAGGCCAGCGCATGCTTGGCAAACATGAAACTGAAAACCGAGTGTTTAAATCAAGCTATATGCATGCTTGAAAGACACCGCAAATATTGGAGGTTCTTCACTAATGTTGCATGTTTGACAACTAAAGGCTTGAGCAAGAAAGGATCAACCAAAGAACAAGGCACATTTCAGCACGGACCAAGACACATCTGGCCAAAACGAGGTTTTATTTGGAAGACTGGAGCAGCGAAGGATTGATCGGGGGCAGTGAAGCAGGTCAGCACAAGGTGACAGGTTTGCAGTCCCATAAGAATTTGTATGATTATATATATATATAATATATATGCTTCTATATATATATAATATATATGCTTCTTCCTGCAAAACACGCATCCTCCAAAAAAGCATCCCGCCAGACACTCGCAGGCAAGCAAAGCTGCCCGAAGTACATTTTGCTCCAAAATCAGCCCCAGCCTCCATCGCCTCCATCACATGGGAAAATGTCGCGACATGGCTTCCCCACGCCAAGTCCCCACTGGTCTTGACACAGGTCTTGAGTGCAGTGGGCTGTGGCTGGTCATGATGGTGCTGCCCCCCAACAAAACACGGAAACTGCAAGCATATCCCGGCCGCAGATTCTCATCTCAAGATTCTGCGTTGGTCACTGTCAGATCCATGTTGCAAGTTTACAATATATATATATATGTCTTCTCTGTCAGATGATCGGAGCTTGGATACTTTGGATGAGTTCATGCAGAAGCCTGCATAAAAGGAGGCAGTTGTCTCAGAAACGGTGTCATGGCACCCGATACCTCACCATGTAACGTGCCGTTGGGTTCCCCCTTCAACCTGGTTTGCGGCGGGTTGGCCATTGGCCCAAGTAGCAAAATCGATGAAGCCAGAACGGCTGCAAAAGCACTACTTGGCCTGCACCATGGATAGTCTGGCACGTGTTGCTTCCGAAGGAAGGTGAAAGCCACCAGAAAATGCGAGAAGCATCAAAAAGATAGACTCGCTCTATTTCATGCTAAGCCGTCTGGAGGGCGACAGTCAAGGATAGTATCAAAGTGAGATTAGTTTGAGGATTTTTGTGGATGAACAATTAAGTCCTCGCCATATAACTCTTAGCCGCTACAGCTGAGCCCACATCATCCCACCGCCCCACTGCACCAGCCCCGCTTCGCGCATTAACTTTTCGTCCACACTCGGACCGCCTGGCGGACCGAGTGGGGAAGGCTCTGGAGGCTCATCTCCCTCACTCACGGCATCGACCGGCGGCTCTGCGCCATGACGGAGCTTCAGCGCAGTGACAGTGCCTGCAACATCCAGCAGTCCATGGGGTGAGCCCAGGCTGGGCCACTTCCAGTCCTCAACAGGAGGAGGTTTCAGGTTTCAGGGGTTCAACTGGGTTTTGGATGTCTGATAAACAGATAAGTGTTGTTTGATACAGTTTCTTCTTCCCATCCTTTGTTCCAACAATCTGAATGTGCCACCCAGCTGTTCGAACAATCCTTGCATGTATCAAAAGCACATCTCAAACACCCTAGATGACACCTGCCACAGTTGGATCTTGTAGTTTTTGGGATCTGAACTTTAAACCATCAACCAAAAAATGCATTTCTGGGTGCGCTGAAGCCCTTGTTTCCTTTCTACCAAAGTTAGGAAGGCCTGATTTGGAGTTGAAATCATCCCACTAGGGACCGTTGTCTTTCTCAATGTGTCATGCCAAAAAATGCAAAAACTGCAGAGGGCAAGGAACAAGACAAATCTGGTTGACACGTCAAAACCAACCATTCGGTGGGTTCCACACATGTCACAATCACAAACTCTTATATTTAATCTAGCAACCATCAATGGGACTTCCACAAAAGTTAAAGCACACAAAAAGACCAAAACTTTACTGTAAGTGGGCTTGAGGAAACACTCTTCCTAGTAGCCTTATTTTGCAAATCCCTGCACCAGTCAGTATGACGGGAGTCCTCCGGCACTGGTGCTTCGTTGGTACACTTCAGCTCACCATCCTGAAGGATGAACTCACCAACAAACAGTCTATATATGAGTGACTATACCTAACAGCGATGGTCTTTACGCTAGTAGCGATGGCCTCCACCCTAGTAGCGATGGCCCAATATACCTCTTTACATGTACAAAAACTTGAGAATGCAAAATGACACACCGAAGCCTGCAGGTCAAACCAAGTTGATCAAATGGCGTCTCAAAAGGGGCACGCCAACTTGTACGACGTGGTGCCACTAAAGTGACTTACTTGGGTTCCTTTGGTCGCCCACCAATCAACGCCCCTTCGACCGTGCTCTGCACTTCAGCTGACAAAGACCACACTTGTTGAAGTTTCTGGGTCAAACACATTGAAAGATGTATTTGATTTTGCTTCAGTAGCTTCTTGTTCCTAGTAGCGATGGCCTCCAACCCAATAGCGATGGCCTCCACCTAGTAGCTTCTTGCTACTAGTCATATCTTGTCATTTTACTAGTAGCTTCTTGTTCCTAGTAGCGATGGCCTCCAACCCAATAGCGATGGCCTCCACCTAGTAGCTTCTTGCTACTAGTCATATCTTGTCATTGTACTAGTAGCTTCTTGTTCCTAGTAGCGATGGCCTCCAACCCAATAGCGATGGCCTCCACCTAGTAGCTTCTTGCTAC